AGGGAAGGGTGGGTGATGGGTACTGAGGAGGGCACCTTTTGGGATGAGCACTAGGTGTTGTATGGAAACCAATTTGACAATAAACTCCATATATTGAAAAAACAAAACAAAACAAAAAAAACAAATTGTGTTTTTCCAGTAGATAAAATATCATTTCTTTCTCCTTGCTTTCAAGATTTTTTCCTTGAAAAACTGAAATTTGACTATGATTGTTGGTGTGGATTTCTTTGTGTCTATCCTGGAGTTTGCTCAAGCTTTTCAAATATGTATATTTATGCATTTTACCAAATTTGAGATGTTTCCAGCCATTATTTCCTTTTTTTAAATATGAAATTTATTGTCAAATTGGTTTCCATACAACACCCAGTGCTCATCCCAACAGGTGGCCTCCTCAGTGCCCATCACCCACTTTCCCTTCCCTCCCACCCCCCATCAACCCTCAGTTTATTCTGTTTTTAAGAATCTCTTATGGTTTGCCTCCTTCCCTCTCTGTAACTTTTTCCCCCTTCCCCTCCCCCATGGTCTTCTGTTAAGTTTCTCAGGATCCACATATTATTTCTTTGAGTACTTTTTCAGTTCCACTCTTTCTTCTCTCCTTCTGGCTCTTGAGACTGTTTATTTTATCAGTCTTTTCTCTTGATGTTCAGAGTGGGTAATTTCTATTGTTCTATCTTTAAGTTTACTGGTGATTTTCTCTGTCCTCTCCATTCTATTAGCCGAGTCAATCCAGTGACTTTCAAAAAAATTAATTATTGTATTTTTCACTTCTATAATTTTCATTTGCTTCTCCTTTATATCTTTTACTTCTTTCCTGAGACTTTGTTTTTTTTCATTTGTGCTTGAAATTGCTTAAGCATTTTTATGATGGCTATTTTAACATATTTGTCATCAAATTCCAATATCTCTGCTATCTTCATAGTAGCATCTATTGGCCATCTTTTTTTGCATTTGGTTTGAGATCTTTCAGGTTCTTGGTATGACAAGTGATTCTCAACGGAAACCTGGACAACTTGGGGCATTATGTTATGTTATTATGTTTTAACTCTGTATCTTATTTATTTATTTATTTTTTTTTTTTAATTTTTTTTTCAACGTTTATTTATTTTTGGGACAGAGAGAGACAGAGCATGAACGGGGGAGGGGCAGAGAGAGAGGGAGACACAGAATCGGAAACAGGCTCCAGGCTCTGAGCCATCAGCCCAGAGCCTGACGCGGGGCTCGAACTCACGGACCGCGA